CAGGCGGCCACCACAATCCCATGGCCCACTTCACCGAGGCTTAGTAAAAAGCAATTTGAAGCTTTTTACATATTATAGCCTCAAAAAATGGTATCAACAATGGCAAAAAGCTCTTAAATATATCTGCAAAATTGCAGTGTGGGGGGAAAAAGGACAATATTTAATAACTAATACAACAGTAACCTGACGGTGCCGTATCCAGTCTCTCCCAATCTCTGTCCTTCAGCTTTCAGGGAAAGTTCCTTCTGAGATAACACAGCAGTGATCATTTCCCTTTTTTAATAGGTAAAAGCTGAGCAAGTTGACAGAATTACTTTACTGCCTCATTTCCTACTAGGGACCAGGTCTTTTTTTTTATTTTTTTCCCCCTCCTGTTTCCTTCTTGGTTTCGATTAATTAGCATGACACCGCTGCAACGAAGCGGTGTGTGTGCAAGGGAACCAACACTTCATCAAAGGCCAGGGACACTATTGTGTCATTTTCACACATGAGTTGTGTAACGTCAGAAGACAAAGCGGAGGTGAGTGGGGCCTGACGAATGGCTGGGAGGCAGGGCCAGTCATTTGCTCAATATTTCACAGCCTGAGGAAGAAAAAGAGTATTTTCTGTGTGCATGCACAGACACGTATAGAAGGACTGGGAGGAATAAGAGCAGGAACGGAGAGAACGTGTCCAGAGAAGGCTTTAATTTGGGGACACACTGAAAAAGTGCGACCGGGTGAGGGTACTCTGCTTCCAAATGAGAAAGGAAACAAGTTTATTTTATGAGTAACAGTTAAACGCTCAAGCAGGCAATTAAAGTGCTTTACTGAGGCCATTTTGGGATACCAAACACTTTGAAGATTATATATTCCCTCATATTTCATGTTCAATGTTCCTCTAAGTAAAATATGTGGTTCCCTTTAGTTAGTCAGTTATGAATTGTACTTTAAAGGCAAGGGGACATTTTTGATAATGCACATCTTAAACTTTTCATTAAACTACCAAATTTAAATTCTACCTTTTTGTGCACTCTGACATTTTTGTCTGGCATTTTCATTAATTTTGCGACATACATAAATGTAGCTGAAATGTTAACTGATCAATACTTTGTCTCTCTCATGTAGCACTAGAGCGAAGCTCCCCAAGGACCACGCAGCAGTACAGAAATTAAATGTGTAAAATATCAAATGTTAATGTTAAACACAGCAGCACTTACTGTATAACGACTGAAAAGGCTAAAAGAATTCCAAATGGACAGATGGTAGCACAAATTATCTACAATCACATTTAAAGATTAAAGTTTGTCCCGTAAAATAATTCATTGACTCACATTGAAGTGTGTCCTTTTACTGATAGCTCAGTTGTCCAATTATTTTTGCGCTCATTACAGTGAGAAATGACAGTATTGGAAAAAAAGAGTGTATACTTTTTTCCCCCTACGTTGCACCCACTGACATCTGCAGGAACACAAATGTCTGGTCAAGAAGCTGATGGAAATTAGGCCCAATTTAGTACACATCTCAGCGCCCAATAATCTAAAGAAAAAACATCCATTTTTGCATATTCTGACGAAGTTCTTCTGCATGAAACATACCGCATAAATTACTGAATTAAAAATAGAGAATAATTAACTGCTAAATAATCCAAAGGTCTGATTTAAATACAGAAAATCACGTGAATTTAGTGCAAAGGCTCTCTCTACGCACTCTGTCCCTTCCCATTGCATCGAGGTGATTAAGAAGCATAAAACAAACACGTAACACATTTTTGATCAGCCTCTAGACAGAACAGGGGTATACGTGGTGTAATTAAGCTGAAACATTAATTTAACATTGCTGCTATGCACTTTCCTTACTTAACAGGAAATAAATATGAAAAAGGAAGAGAGACTATCAAATCTTCTGATGGCTCAAATCCAAAGTCATGTGCTGGCCAGACCAACCTATGTTTCATGAGCTATTTACAAGTATCTTTTAATATCTGAAAAATAACAGCTAATCATACCGCAAGGATATATTACCTCAGAAATATAAAATAATTATGTCTGGGTAACAGCTGTTCTTCTCTTGTGAACTAGTGAGACAAAGGGGGAAAAAAAAAAAAGAGTCGAAATCTTAAGTCATTCAGGCAAAATCCCCAGTGAAGGCGATTAACTTATGAACTTAAACAGAAACAGGTAAATACCGTTTAGTAGAGGAAATGCATCATCTAGAACACTCAAAACTTAACTTCTAGGTTTCTGTACTTTCAGGTACTGCACAGGCAACAACAGCAGGGCAGCTGGTGGAGATTTGAGGAAGAACCACGCTAAGACTTTAATAAAGCACTTCCTTTCCTAAAATAACCCAAAGGATTTTTTATTTGGGACCGTGGGTCCCAAATAACCTAAAAGTTTGAGACAGGTACGTTCTGGAGTATAAATAAGCAGCCAGCCCCTTCAAGTGAAAGCTTTTGTTGTGAAACCAAGCTAGCCTGCCCAAGGAACAGGCGATGGGACAAGAGGAAATGGCCTCAAGTTGCCCCAGGAGAGATTTAAGATGGATGTTGGAAACAATTTCTTCACAGAAAGGGTTGTGAAGCCTTGGAAGAGGCTGCCCTGGGGAAGTTGCCATCCCTAGAGGTATTTCAAAGCTGGGCAGACGTGGTGCTGAGGGACATGGGTCAGTGGTGGCTTGGGCAGTGTTGGGTTGACAGTTGGACTCCATGATCTGAAAGTTCCCTTCTAACCTCATCAGTTCTCTGATTCTGTAGGACATAGTGTGAGGCACAAGAAAAGGGCACTGGCCACAATTACCTCAGCCAAAAGCAGATCTAAAAAACCACCCCTTACACACGTCACTTATGTGAGATGGCCATAAATCTGTGTTGCGATGTTAACCATCGAGGTGTGCCTTCAAATCCAAGGAATAAAAGATGAGTTTAAAAGTTTACTTCTCGTACATTTTTTATGAGTCTGCCTACAGAGCTGGAAGCCTCCAGAACGGCCTATTTCTCATCTCCTTTCTGGCACTGACATTTCACTGTGACATTCTCCAACCTCTGGGAGACAACTTCAAGAGGAGATACGATTTGTGTAACACTGAAGAGATGAAAATGATACATAGAAGTATGGCTTTTTTTTTTATTATAGAATCTATTAATTTCCAGGGTAACCTTACTGCAAACATAATTCAGCATCACACGTGCAAGTGAACCACTCCCAAGACTTTTCAAGGACCTATGATAGCTATAAAACTCCAGAAACCATCAAAATCCAAAGCATATGACCACGAAAGAAGCTCATGTAGATTTGACCGAGCTAACAGAAACTTATCAATGTTTTGCCCAACAGAAGGATGATTTGATCTGTGGAAAGAGTGACTTTTTCAGGCAGAAAAGCAGAAGATGGACTTTGGATGCAGAGCAGGAACACATCTGTGAAGTCACGGCACTGATACAGACGTAAGGTATCCATAACAACCACAACCACCACAGAGCAATGCAAATACTGAAAGGAAACTTAGGGAAAAGAAGGTTTCTATATATATGTGAGTGTGTGTGTATGTGTGTATATACATCTATATGTATATATATGTAAAAATAAAATCAGGAACATGCTTCTCCTGCAGTACACAATATCTACAATAATGATGCATGCTGACTACAGCCCTCCCTGCTCAAATTCTGTGTTGTATTTATTTCCAAGTACTTATTCTGACCCAGGACTTCTCCTACGATGGGAAACAATTACAATTTAACAACCACACAACTTTTTCCATGGCCACAGCAGCTTACCACAAGAAATAAATTTCATTTGCCCCAAGGAATAGGGTGCCTTTCCGTTTCCCCTTCTCCCACTGGCAGCAGGTGGGGGTTCCACATCTGTATTAAAATCCCTTGGAGAGATGAGCATTTACTTACTGGAGCAATAATAGCAACATGGACCTTTGAGTTTTACATAGAAAAATAAGTTTTCCTATGAAATTTTGACCAAAGCACTCCAATTTCCAGCATGGCTCCAATGTCTGGTGTGATTTCTCCAGATTTGAAGCACCTGAGCTTCAGGCACCCAAGGTAGGAGCCCTGTCACCAGACTCCCCCTATAATTATTCAGAGACAGACCAAAACCTTTCCCCATGCATATTGATGATGGAGAGGCCCATAACTTCAATATTTTAGCCAAATTAATAAATTTAGGTGTTTCAGAAAGCGTGTCCATACATACATTTTTATTCCTGCTGAGACTCCTTCAGGCTAACAACCCGGGACTCTGGCCTTGCGTGTAGCCCACATTTTTTTTTTTTAAATAAAAAGATGCTCATCTGGGAAACACAATCTAATCTATGATTATGCTTGGAATTTCCCAAATTGAACAGGAAAATAAAGGTTAGTATTAATGAAGCTAGTGTTTATGAAGAAATAGCAGTTTCATTAAAATCACTAAAAACTGAACTATGACCAAAAAGGTACTAGTCTGCTTGCAATCATTATTTTAAAACTGATTTTTTTCTTTAAATTTCATTCTGTTTTGTTTTTTTTTTTAATGAAGAACGCTAAATTGTAGTAAGAAAGCAATTCTTTGGGTCTAGAGCTTTCTATTTCTAAAAACATTATAGGTGTAATATTAATTTACATGTGGAGGACAAAATAACACTAAATTTATATTCATGATATGTAAAAGCATTCAGGAAATACTCAAAGTTTTAGGGTAAATATGAAATACACAAGGGGGCTGAACAAAATTTAACAGAAGTAATGGGTGAGAAGCTCAAGATGTATCACCCATAGTTCACTGGCTGTATTTGAGTTGTTCCACTTGATTGAACTGTAAATTAAAAAAAACCCTCTACCTTGTTTGTGTGACGTTTTAAACACTTTTTTTTTTTTTTAAATAAGTGAATAAACACACTTTGCAGTATCTTCATAACGCAAAGTTTTAAATAAAAAAAAATTAGAACCCACGACCACAACACTATTATCTCTCAGTTGAGAACACAAACCCTCCGGGGTGATTAGCAATAATACAGAGAAGATCATACCAAGAAAGCAGCAAGACTTCTTGGGGGAGAATCCCAGTCAAAGCAGCTGCTGATGTAGTAGGCAGCATTTATGAGCACCATGATGCAACGCTTCGTCCGGATAAAGTTCCTCACCAGTAGCTGTTAAAAAGATGAAAGAATGAAAATATTTCAAAACCCCGAAAGATGAAGACTGAGAAAAGAAAATGTCAGGGCCTCTAGCTCACACACTGAGAAAGATAGTTTAAAATTTGAGACTTGGAAAAGAGAGAATTTTAGTTATATGTGTCAATTGACATTTGCTGAATTTAATTCTATAGAAACCAGTTGATGTCTTCATTTCCACAACTGTAGACCAGTTCTAAAAAGCCACTGGCCAAATTTGATGAATTATTTTAAGATTTCAGAGTTTTGTTAAGTAAGCAAGACTTTCTCCATTCTCAATAACTTTGAAAATTCTGGCCTTTTTTAATAAAAAGATGCTGTAGGACACTAACCATGCAAAATTACTGTTCTAATCTAATTAAGATCATCTACAACCTGTTACATCCAATTTTACTTTCATTTGTAACAAATTTATGATGTATTTTGACCACCACATGTTTTTAAGTATTTATCAAAGTAACTTTAACTGTAGACATTCAGTCTGCATAATGATGAGACAGAACTACACTGGGTTTTGATTCAGGAGAATACCCTGAAATCCTCTACAATGGCAATTCACTTGACCAAAAAAAGTGAAGAAAACAGTGAATGATTTATGAATTGACTAGCACAGAAAACAAGAGGCAAGTAAGACACATTCACTCTCAGAAAATGTGGATGTTTTAAAAGGCAACCACCCCAGTGGAATTGTGGGGAGGTGTCTCATGCAAGCTAATTTTTAAAAAAACAACCCAAAGTGGGTATTTAAAGTTTACTCTTCCTGCCATCTGCAAAAAGCTCAATGCCATGTTCTGTTGAAAAGTGGGGAGAAGAATTAACCTTGAAGAAAAGGCCTTGCTGTTTTTCCTCTCTGGAATAGCAGTGGAAGATGCAGCTTCAGTAACTGCATTACTCACAGCAGTAAATAAAGAAATATTTTGCCTCTTGAAATCTTTTTTAATGAAATACCTCATACAACTGATATAAAATTCATCCAGCAGATAATTTAAATTACGCTCAAGCCTATAAGCTTTTAGCAAAATAAAAGCCGGTTTTGAGGCCTTTGCCTTTTCTCTGCAAACAACAAAAAATCTTGTTCCCACAGTCCAGCCCAAAGCCCAGTTCTCTCCATATAAAATGCATCATTTGTGGAACATGAACAACTGAGTGAAAAGTAGTTTAGGTGGAGAAAAAGGTAAGATGTGTGTTGAAGTTTTTTTTTTTTTACCAAAAACATTAAAACTGAGCGTAGCAAAAATATCCAGAGTAAAAAGAAAGAGTGTCCAGACATTTTGTACCCACAGGACTCTGCAAAGCAATACAGGGTTTTATTCTGCCTTCACCTTTGATTCAAACCGTACTCAACCAAGTTATTTAAAATTTGGCTAAAAGAATGCTGAAAGACCCTCTCCCCTGCAACAAACGGAGATCTTTTGGGTCAAGGTTAACAGCAAGAATTTATGCAAGACTTGGTTTACATGCACCTGTGCTATCATCTGATATGTGTGGAACCTGATGGTTTCAACTGTGTTCTTATTCACGTATTTCATGGAAATTAAGCTGCAATTTATAGAGGAGACACAATAAACCCATGTATTTTGTTTCTGCCTCCTCCGACCTTTCATATTCTTTTGTAAACAGGTAATGAAAATGTTATTCTTTACCCTCAGCCGCGCGATACCAGATATTTTGGGTGTGCACACTTGATATTAAGGCTTTCGGAAAAGGATTAGTATTTCCTTACTTCTTTACCTGTTTAGACAGTCTGTTTTCCTCTTCAATGTACTTCTGTTCTTTGGGCATTAAGGTGCGTATGCTGGCTTTCACCTGCAGGGTAGAAACGCGTGTCAGTGTCTCGAGCCCCCTCGCTCCTCATTAATAACACATGCCCCAAAAGAAAAAAAAAAAAAATAAATAAAAATTAGTGAGTTTGAGAGCTGGGGCTGCCAAGCCCGGGGAGAGGAGGGTCGGGAGAAGGCATGAGCTCCTCGGAGGAGCCGCCGCCGCCGCCGCAACAAAAAGGGTGGGAGTGCCAGGCAGTGGCAGAGGAGCATTCTGTGGTAGACATCAAGGTTTTAAGAGAAAATGAGGAATGACAGAAATTCTCTACAAATCGGGAACAAAAGCTTTCATGAAACTGAACTCTTTAGCAGTACAAAAAAGCCAAAGTTAAGACTTACAGCATTAAAAATCACATCTATTTCAAGATAGATGACCCCCTTTGTTGGCCCTGTCAGCTGCTTGTTTTTCAAGACGTAGGCTTTCTGTTCACCATTTTGAATCTGCAGGAAAAGGACATGACAGCCGTCTGTCTCGCGGTCTCCGCTGAATACCCCCCCGGCGACCCCTGACCCGCGGCTGCTGAAACTGACAGAGAACCCAAAACAACTGTGGCAAGTCTGACAAGTACCTGTTCATTACCAGGACCCAGTCTGTCAGGAAAAATTAACTATCATGGGATTCAACATGGCCGTGAATTGAGTATGTTAAAATTTTAGTGTTCTTATTACAGACCTCGGTTGAGAAATGACAGACACAGAGCTGCAAACCTTTTTTTTTTTTTCTTCTTTTTTTTTTTTTTTTTTTTTTTTTTTTTTTTTTTTTTTTTTTTTCCCTTTTTGTTTTTTTAAATATTTTTTTTCTCTCCCCCCCCCAACTCCAGCAGGAAAAATAGAGAGTGGTGTGTCAGGTGAACGAAACTCACAGACAGCAATGGTATAGCAACTTTGCCCAGGAAGTCAGCGCTCCGATCCCGATCCTCGTCATAAACTGTCACCTCCAGCACCGAGTGGATGTCTTTAATATTGCTACAAAGGGAGAAGCACACACAGGAGGGAGAAGAAGTCACTTACACCGGCGGGTACCAAGGACAAAAGCCTGAAAGGTTAGCATAAAAAACCAGATTTTTATTTTTTTTTTCCCAGAGAGCAGAAGTTAAGTAAAGGAGGCACCCTCCGTACCCTGACATGCTCTCTCAGGGCTGCTCCCGAGGCTTCCCCGGCACGAGTCCTCCCCAGGATGTTGCTGTAAATCCCCCTCCTGGGGTCTGGAGCCAGGCTGGGGATTTACAGGACCCGGAGCTGTTGGGAGCATCCCTCACACCCAGCAGCAATCCCTGCTGCACACACCGTTTGTCAGCAAAACAACGACCAGCACCGAGAGCAACCTCCTTCCTCCTCAAATCCCTGCCTGATTACAAGCCTGCAACAGTCATTACAGTTTCAAATTAGGCACGAGCAAGGCAAAACGATGCATTTTTTCAGCTGCTCCTGCTTTTATTTTGCCCACGAGCCGTTAAACGCGCCAGCAGCACGCACAGCAAATGCTGCTGTACACGGAGAACTCTCACATGAAAAATCCACTTTCCTTATTCAGAGAGGAAAACACAATTGTTTGAGAGGACTCATCTTGGATCAAACGGCTGATCCAGGCAATATGGGTCCAAGCAAAGCAGTTTAACTTCAGTAAAATATACATCTCCAGATTGTTAGCCCAAAATTAATTAACAACTCCGAGGATAAATAAAACAGTCAATGCAAACATACACAGAAGAGCAGTGAAAACTCTCCTTGAAGGCCTTTTGAGTTTTTCCTGTTTGATTCCTGATTAGTCTTTTGTCTCTACAAAACCAGGCAATTCCTTGCACAGAGAACACTGCCGAGGAGTAGAGGATGATTAGTTATTGGCACTATGGGTAAATAATTAAAAATAAATCACTGAAGAGTTTAGTGTGGTTTTGCAGATATATAAATGAGAAATAAGTTAACGAGCTAATGAGAAGCACAACTGTTGTGAGATTTTTTTTCTTTTGTTCCGAGTTCACTCCTGAAAGCTCACTGCAGGGCAAGAGAGGTACACGGGACAAATACCCGAATGGCAAATGTAGAGGAAAAAATAAACAGATTAAAATCAGACTGTGTTTTGAGACCAAGAGCAAAACACAGTGTTTTAATTTCTGATAAAGTGAGGCATGTGTACACAAAGCTAAAGCTTCCCCTGGTTTTGCAGAGGACTGTTAGCTGGTTTCAGCAGCAGAGCATCCTGCCACTGATGGGTTTCCTACTGGCTGGTGTCACACCGCAGTCAGAGAGAGAAACAGGGCAGGGAGAAAGCAAGACAAATAACAGGAACATTTTGTTTGCAGAAGACTTTTTTCCTATTCTGTCACAGCCTTTTACTGCCTTCAGAATAACGGAAGGATAAAAAAAACCCAACAGCATCAATTCCCCATGAACTAAACGTTGAAGGCTGCGTTGTACCCAGCAGCGTCGCGCTCCAGTCGCACTCCCTGGCGCCACAGGACGTGTTGGTAAATTGAAAGAACCATTGGAAAGTATCTGATCATAAGGCAGAGCAGTATGAAAGCACTTAAAATCCCTTCCTTTATACAGTTATCTAATGCTTATTAAAGTTAACAACCACATTTTAATGAAGGTCATTATCACAATATCCTATTTTCCACCCAAAACTTCAGGTCCAAATCTGGTGTGATGTGTTTGGCCCTTGAAATTCTCCCTGAAGCTTGCAGGTGTCTGGAGCACTTAGCATCATACCTTCCAAGAAACAGACCTTGCTGGATTTTTTACCCTTTAAAATGGTAGCTCTTCTCTTTTTTTTTTTTTTTTTTTTTCATGTTTTTAATGCTCAAAAAAGTATTCAATGGTTTGGTTTAGAATTATCAGTATGCCATCATGGTCCTTCTTCAGAGCCAGCAGTGGGTACCTTTGATTCTCATGCACATCTCCTTCAGAACAGCTCCCCCCGCCTCCAAAAAACAGCCCCCGACCCCCTCCAAACACTCACAAAACCCAAACACCTACAATGTGAAGACTTTGTTCCACTCTGGGTTGAGGTTCTTGTAGACGGTATGGGTCAGCAGCCTGTCGTTGTTCAGTTCAACTACACAAAACGGGTCACTTTTACCTACAAGAGAAAATTTGGAACAAAAGTTATGAACTAAGAAAACCCACCATGAACAAGGTTTGAAAAAAAACTAGTTTTGGAGGTTTGTTTTTTTTTCTTTCTTTCTTTTCCTAAGCTGCATTGTAATTCTCTCAGGAGTTAATTCAGGGAAGTCCTATGGTCTGCATTATATTCAAGATGATCATAACAGGCTGTTCATCTCCATAATCTATTAACATTCTTCACTAGAAGAACATCTTTTTTGTCTTTAAATACAAAAAAAAAAAAGAAAAGAAAAAAAATCCCCATACAGACTTTTCTGATGAAAAAACAGCATGTTCCTAAAAGGTGCCAAGCACCCTTCTGAGACAGCTAAGAGAACTTTACTTTAATGGGGCCAATCCCACATTGGCTGTAATGATAACATAATTAGAGCATTTTGATACATAGGAAATGTATTATTCCGTACTATTTGTAATAACACAGCACCTATGATACTTATCCAAAGATTACTATGCCTTACATGCTTCACGCTGTACAAATCCTCTCCCCAAAATCAAAAAACCTTAAAGACAGGCTCAGATGAAAGCCTGGCACCGGAGAAAACGGGCAAGCACAATTAAACAATGAGAGGGTATCAGCTGGAATGATGGGCTGTAGTCTCAGCACAGCAGAAGCCCAAACGAGGTGGAGATTTTTGTATACATTAAAGCACAATGAAGTAGCTTTGCATATATTTACAAGAAGGTCCCCCAGCATGAAAGCCACCACAGGAGAAAGTGTGAAGATGCCGCTTTGAAAATGTAATGTGTAGATAATGGAAGCCGTACCCTACGCTGGATGTGGAAGTTGATAATTTATTTTTTTTCTAATTTAAAGAAAAAGAATGGAGAAAGGAAGTGCGAGTGTGTGAGCCCCTGAATATCAAATAAGCAGCTCATGGGCAGCGACTGCAGGTGAGCTGTGCTTAGACACCAAGCAAAGAGCAAGAAAAGTCACACGAAACTTATACTAAGATTTTTCTTAGATACATCCACGAGGCCACGGTTTGTATCTGGAAAGCAGAAGGAGGAAAGGAGACACCTGAATCTCGCGCTTAACAAGGGTCTGCTCTGGTGAAAAAGGAGCTCTCCGAAGAGGGAGGAAACCAAAGAAGGAAAGATTGGTATCTCCAGGGTTTCGGGGCAACCCTGAAATTCCCTGGAAGGGTTAGAAGGTGTTGGGAGGAAGATCCAGATGGGAGGAGCGGTAATGAAAACATGAGGGGCACGGTGAGAAGACAGTTGCAATAAAGAGGTAATAAAGGGAAGAAATCATAGTGTGGAGTAAATTATTTAACTCATATTTCAAATTATGACAGTAATGACAACCACTATAAATGCTGGCCGAGACGGAGAGATGCTATCCCTCCTACCTATTTTGATTTCCTCCAGTAATTGAAGAGAACAACCTTTGCCTTCGGCACAGAATACAAGTGGGTGCATTATTTTCATGTAAGGCTGCAAATATATAAGTAGAAAGCCATAGAATAAATTGCTGCTCCCAGAACCCAAGGGGACTTTCTCTGATGGAAATTAGCAACCGAGTTGCACACCACAGAGCAGCTCCTTCTGGTTTTCTCTGGATGGCAAAGGGTTTGGAAGCTATTGAGTGTTGGCCTCCCTCAACCAAATCCAGCACACTGAGCAACTGAGCTCCACCGTGTCCTCAGTAACTCCAAAATGCTTTGTCATGCACTAGAAGAAGCCATAAATTGAGCAGCTCAATGGGGCTACATTAATGATATTAGGGAGGCATGTAATTTGTTTCATACCTTACACAAATGACAATGAAATCAATATTTAGACAAAGCTGTCCAGGGGTCACATTTCCCAAACTGCTGTATTGATCCAGACTACATCAGGGGTTAATGTGCATATTATTAACTTTAATGATAAAGAATAATTGTTTTAAACACATTGTGAATTACAGTTAGAGTTGATGTTTACCTTCTCTAGAAAACAATATACCACTGAATCTTTCCCATTAATCTTGAAAAAATGATTAATTCATTGGTCAGCAGAGACAGATGTATCACACATCTCAATATCCTACTTCAGAAGCCTAAAAGGTGGTAGGAAACTTAAACAATTTATATTTACTAAGTTCTTTGGATTTCTGTTTTTGAGAAAGCAACAGCCAGAAGACAGTTAAAATAACATGGCAGAACTGACACAGTAGATGAGGGAGGTGATATGACTTTATATCCTTTTTTAAAGTATCTTCAATCATATTTGAATATGATGGTGGGTACAATGTAATTTGTGCTAATTAATCGTAGAGAGACACAGGAAAATTCACTGCAGTGTCTAAAGGCCATCTTCTGTAAACAAGGAGAAGGTATTTACTACGTTCATTTATTTTCTGCATCTGTTGACATGCGCTTTTTCAGTGACTCTCCTCATAGATTTATATGGATATCAATTCACTTAAGAAAGCTAAATAATGTGTAACATCAATCACAGAGGTCCTCAATCAAACCAAATGGTTTTCAGAAGTAAAAAAAAAACCAAAACCAACCCTCTCACACTCAACTTTTGCTGTCTCCTTACCCCGTAACTTGAATAAAGTCTGGGACCAAATTTGAGTAAAGAAAATACCACAAAGCGGTCTGAGGGAAGGCCCAATTATCAGAGTTGATGAGTAGGAGTTTCCCAGCCATGGACACCTCTGCTAAGGAATACTGTTTTTACTGTCTGAGGAGGCCATGAAGTTCCCACATGCAAAGCCCTTTGCCATCACCAATGGGCACTTCTTCCGTAAGCTCCATCGCTCACAACCAAGCTGGTGCTCAACATATGGTTGGTTGGATACCAACCCAAACAAGCTAACATGATCCAGAAAGACAAAGCCCAAAGAATGCACCAGTACTCGGTGAAACTCATATCTACCTGTCATCTTTCAAGTTCTCATTATCAGAAAGAATAACTGCCATCTTAACTCTCACTGATGGCCACAGCAACCTGCTGCACTGCAAGAGTTCACAATAATGGGATTGCTCCCCATGAAACCTTAAGAGAGCACTGAAATATTAAAAGAAAGTGTTCCTAGGTCTCCTTGGTCTCTAGGAGGACCAAGGAAATCTAGGAACTTACAACATCACTGTATTATTCAAAACCCCTCCCTTAAGCACAACACATAGAGCCAATTGATTGGCTGGAATTGCCAGAGATGACAGGATTTGGCATCAAATCTTTGAGGAAAAGTTGCCACAGGAGAAATACTTCCAAACAGAAGTGACCATACAGTGGTTTGGAGGGAGGGAAAAGGGGGATTCTTCTGAAAATCGGAGGGAAAAGGGGGATTCTTCCATGGCCACCTTCTAAAAATTGAGAAATGCTTTAAGGTTTAATTTATTGTTTTCTGTTCCCCCCCCCTCCAGAACCACAAACCAACCTGCATTCTCCAACTGCTGTAGCAGGGACCACACAGCAAACAGGCAGCTGCAAACAGGATAATTGCTTACTTCTTGGAGACAAGCTTTATATTATTCCCAACTTATGACACGATTCAGCAGCTCCTGCAGGTTGTAAAGCAACCACAAAGAAAACAATGCAAACTTTGAACTTATTGAAGGTAGCCTCAGACAACTTCTGTCCAGTTAATGCAACTGGCAACTTCAAACAAGAGACAGATAAGTGGTCTTCTTCATTTTAATAAAGAAGAACCACGCGTGTTCAGAAAATTACGGGCAGCCCACTTGGCAGTTCTAAAAGTGCACATAAATACCCTTGGATTAGACCTTGTGCTGCTGGGGCTCAGTTGCACCATTCTAAGTTGTCACCTCCCGTGTGCCAGATCACGACTGTCACGCATCACCGTGCATCACCTGTCATGGGTCAACACATTCTACCCAAACCCCACTGTCTACTGAGGATCTTCCAACCAGTTCCCTGCTACCCTGCCCTTGGTAGGACCCCAGCTACTGTTTCACTGACCTCAGAGGTACTTCAACCCTGTTGATCAGGAGGACACCCACAAACTTCTTCCCAACACAGCCCTGAAGGGTAAGACGACCACCACCTGCATATTAACATGTCCCCAGCACCATGAAAACCCAGCATTTAACGATTTTGAGTTATTCCACGACTCACTGGGACTAATCACTATTGCACCTAGCACTGCTTGAAGAAATTCATGAGAAGGGCATTAAAACCAGGGAAATACTTCCCACTGACTGAAATCAGACCTGCAGTCAACCTTGGTAAGACATAAACCAAATCCCATTAACCCATTCTGTATCATCTCATGGTTTTTTGGACTCCACTTGCACAGTCCTACGGGCTCCTGAAGTGACAGCAACAAAGTCCTAACTTACAAAATACGAATAACAATCTGGAAGGCAAAGGGGAAACAGCTTCTCTTTGGATGGATCTCCCTCAGCTTTTTTTCCCCTTTACGTGTTACACACCGGGACTATCTGAGAATGTCCCCTAGAAAGGAATTCTAGGGGATTCCTACTGAATCCCACTGAAAAAAAATAACTGAATTTTCCTATTTTATTCATCGTGCCACACACTGCATCCAGGACAGATACCCTTGTCTGTGCTGTGCTGCGTTGCATTTAATCTACAGACAGTAGATTAAATGCACAAACTTGAAATGACTTTACTTAGACCTCTAAGTGAAGTATTTTACTTGAATCAGCATGGTGTCCCTCACATTAATTAAAATGTTTGTCTTTTACTTGTCACTTAACTTCTTGGAACCACCACATGCCCCTGGATGAACCCTACACCCACCAGCTCCCACCAGCCCAACTCATGGCTCAGCTGCAAGAGAGGCTGACCAGCAACTGGAGAGGTCCTACTTGTTGTTTCCTGCAACACCCAAATTCCCCCCAAGCCTGGGAAGTCTTTCACAAAAAAAGATACTGTCAGTCTGGGGCTCAGATTCATTGTCTGGAGCTCAGAAGGCTGGCCACTGGAACAACTTTTTTCTCCTGCAAGTATGTAAAATACACTTCTTCATCATACAAAAGA